CAAATAAGGGTACACTTATCCTTAATCTCGACCAAGGGGACGACTCTGTTTGCTTTGTAAGCTTTGTTAATGAAACGCATAACGGAGAAATTATTTTTAAAATAATTGTTAAACTTTTTTCGTTAAAAATGATTTTTGAGGCACTTTAGAAATTCACCTATTTGTGCTTTACAGGTGATTTTTTTGAGTTAAGTTAGCCTGAAGGTACTTTTTTGTTGAATATTTATTGTGATAATTAGCGATTTATTTTAATACAGAAGTTAACCGCACAAAATTGCTTATTTGCCAATTTATTTAAAATTTTGCGGTATTCCGCAAATACCGGGATCCCGCGGGATTAACATCTAATGGATCCCGCAAATACCGGGATTGAGATTTTGCTGCGGGATTGCATTCCCTAGCTGTAACTTTTGAATTAGTAGCCCAATCTTGGAACTGTTTGAAATTATGGATTCTACAGGCCACGTTCTATAAGAAAATTTTTTTTACGGGTCGATCTGAGACAATTTTTTTTCGGGGCAAAAAAAGGCAGTGTATAACCTTCCTTTTTTCCAAAAATCGACTGCACCAAAATTTCTCGGGAAAACACTTTTTCTTATTAATTTTGGTGCGTAGAATCCAAAACAATTCGTACTTTTTCGATCAGACTTCTCAATCAAAAGTTATAGACTAAGAAACCAATTTCGAAAGAAAATTCAAAGGGCCGTAACTTTTGAACTAGTAGCCCAATCTTGGAATGGAACATTTTAATTTAGAGAAGTTATATAGGTTTCGTAACTTCTTGTATTAAAAGTCATATGAAAAACCTGTCAAGTGTAAAGTAAAACATTAAAGCTCTTACGAAAAATATGTTGGTATTAAATATCATATAACATATCATATAAAAAATCATGTGAGATATATTATAGTGTAAAGGTACCTTAAGAGAAGAATTATCGCTTAAAACTCCCGTTGGCCAAGGGAATAAGGGGTTGTAATGAAACGTTTAATCAATTTAACCAGCAGTTACATTGACAAGAATTATACTCGTATGTTCTTTAGAACGAAGTCGCAGTGACTAAATCCTAAGCTTTTCTCGTTTGTGGGTTCCGTTTATGAAATACCTACCTTTTTCTTATCACACTTCAAATACCCATAAACCAGTGAACTGTTCTTATCTCTTACACAAATATTGCACTATTTACTTATTCTTACAACGTCGTTTTTGTCTGAAAAGTATATTGCAGGTTGTCAATAAAGCAATTTTCTACCGACGTTGTTTATTTGAAGTTTGCGTAGGTCTTGTAAATAAGGGGTAAATTCCCTAGTATGATGAAACATTAGTCATGGAAATTTTTTTAATTAAAAAACCAACGCCATGCTAATATTATCTCCAAATTGTTCACGTGTGCACTTTTTATCTGGAAGGTTTCTAAAGTTAATAGAATTTTTACAGGTTGTTTGGGGGTACACCAGGATGTCTATTGTAAGTTTTCGACCTCGATGACCGTGTGCTAACGGGGAAGGGGGAAAAATACCAAAATGTTCGAACTTATCCCAGTTTTTTGCTTATATCTCGTAAACTAGGAATATTTTTCGTGTCATAATTCATAGTGCATTACAAAGTTGTGGGGTATTACATTTCCTAACATTTGGCTAGTGAAACGAATGTTACATTACAACATTAAAATGAGGGATTTTTACGTGAGGGGGAGGGGTCGAGAAAGGGGGCCATAGGTGTTCCAAGATGAGTGATTAAGATAATTAACATCCAAATGATGGTAATAATAGATCCAATGCCTTCGTTTTTCGGTAAGTTTTTGCCATTTTGAGAAACTTTGTTTAAGTTTGATCAGTTGTATTTCAGTTAGTATTGGGTCTAAAAATTCATTTCACCAGTCAGATCTTAGCAAATTTAATGTCCTACACGTTTGTAATGTACTATAATACAAACAAATATTCCTAGTTTACGAGATGTTAGCGAAAAACTGAAATCAGTCGGTAAGTTTTGGGGTTTTTGGCCCCCTTTCAAGTTAGGACACGGTCCTCGAGGTCGAAAACTTAGGTTAGACATTCAGGTATGGGATGTACCTGTAAAAATTTCATTATCCTTGGAGTACTTTCCCAGTTCCCCCTATTTTTCATGATATCCACTAAGGACAAAATAATATTCTTTCCAGATTTGCTTTATATCTTGCACTATTGAATGAAACGAGGTTTGACCACCTTAAAAAATGACCCCTTTTTGCATAAATGATAAATATATGGTACTATAACATCCCTTGACCTTGCATACGCCTCATAGTATATACAGGACTTTTCTTCCTCCCGGCGCCCTAGTACTAAACCAGAGTTCACTTCTTTCGTCCGTAGGTAAAGCTTCTAACAATAATAGAGATTTATTGCCCAACGGACCAGAATATTCCAATTACAGGACAATACATAATTAATAGATAGTGCGCAATTATTTAGTGTACCTAATAAGAAAAAAGAAAAAGAAAAAACACAAGAAAAACTCATCATAACTAAACAACAACAAAATAATTATATCTAAAAAGCAATTTTAAAGCCGCCTGGCTGTCTGTACTTTAGAGATTTTTCTATTTCCAAGATTACTCTCTAACAACATCTGGACCCATGCGTTAATACCAGGGTTAATACCAAAGATCTCTGTCTGTAATATTGTATGCGTATAGTAAGCTGTGTTGACTAGTTTTGAGGTCCCTTTGCCCTGTTCCCACTCATCTCTTGTTAGTACCATATGGCAATTTGGGAAATGTGTTTTCTTGATCCGACTCATTTCCATGACGTGTATTTTAGACGTCTTACTAAGAATTGTGTAATGTCTTTTTCTAAAGAGCCCCACTTCAGCGTTAATCTGCTCTTTTCAATGCATCCGCTGTTTAACTTTCACTTTATTGTTACTATTTCCAAAAAGTGCATGTAAATTAGCAACTTGAGACGAAGTTCAGCTTCGAGGTAATTGTTAACTGCTGTTACTTAACCTCATTCGTGGCGTGCTGGAATATAAAACAGCTTTTTTTTCTCAGACTTGACCCCTCTGTTCGAAAGACTCGCATAGGAGCTTCAAATAATCCCGATTGAGGTCCATAGAATTAGACTTAGAAATTTCCTTTGTTTGTTCTTGGTTAGATTAGAGGCCATGTTTATGATTCTTAAATGATTTGCACCTCTGACTATGGAACTCAGCCTTCGCTTGGCCCGGAAGTTAAGTAAAATTGACTGTTAAATTTCCACTCCTTTCCTCCTCTTTTACGCGCGAGCACAAATTATGCTATTATTTTATTATCAAGTTACCCTCCCTTGAAGTTAATTATGACTATACAAGACAACGGTATTTTGCATAAATGCCTAATGTGATTACATTTCATGACTCCGAATATTTGAATATTGCAATGCTGTTATGTGATGGGTTTCGAAACACTACTCTGTCTGCAAATATACGATTTTTTATGTGTCCCCCCGGATGGTTTAGATTCACAATTGAACCCGATCGGATTATAGGATTTAAAAAAAATATTTTTTTCGTTGAACTCGTGTCCAAAGCTAACTCTCTAATTCCTCTCATTCTCGTTCGTACATCAAAAATTCCATCGCGGTTTCTCCCTCATAATTTTTTGTTCTGAATGCAATGTTATTTTATTCAATTAACTATATGTTTCTCTTCCGTGTATAAAGTATTTTCAAGACCCAATTATTTTATACTGCTTTGATGGGTGATCAGTTTTAACATCGTTAGAACTGTTAAGCAGATTACATCCGAAGTAACGCTCAAAAATGAAACATCCAAGTTTAATTACAAACTTTAATTTAAAATAATTAAATTCTGTTTTAATTCATGCTGCCATTTCACACACATACATGCAAATTGCCGTTAATCCCTTTAATTCATTTCACTATTTATTAACTTGCGCCGTTTTACTTCATTGTTTGTTCATTAGAGATTGTTTCTTGAATATTTCATTCAAAGTTCTTCTCGAACAGTTTCATGCAAATGAAACATGCAGGTATAAAATTAATTAAAACTTTCACCCTACTCCGCTTGTTTGCGTTTCTTTGAATTTAATGAGAATAATTACTTTATCTCGCTGCCAGAAATGGTTAAGTCGATTATTTATTATGAATATTTTTTTAGGAAATCAATTTTATGATAGTATTATACCAAGGGACTAAAGTGTCTGTTTTAAGTCCGATGGTGCAGTGTTGCCCGAAATGAAATTGGCCGCACTTTAGTCAAAGTATTGTATACGATATTTTTGTACCTACTTTAGTAATCCGCTACAGATGCTAGTCAGAATATTTCAAATAGTTAACCAAGATTTTTCAATTATTTTCATTTCGATCTAGTTATCCATGAAAATGATAACAGTACATAATAGTATTTAAAACAATAACTGGAAATAGGCTGTTAACAAAACACCATCATTAGTTTTCTGCTAATGCAGGTCCCTGATTAGTGATCGCTCCTCCACAACTGTCTATCCCCTGGTCTTCTCTTCACTCCTTCATATCCTTCTTCTCCCTCTCCCTCTCTTTCAGGTGGTAACTAATTTCGTGGAATTATTCTTTTGTTGCTCGGTCCAGAATTGCAATGGAATTTATTTTTTCGAGTTTTCAAAAACTAATTCTCCCAAATACCAAATTTCCTCAAAAGCAGAGTTTTCTTCGCACCCCCATTTAGGGGTCGCCTTATCGTGGTAGGAATTTTGAAAAAAAATTTACAAAATAGGAAAGGGCACACCCGAAAACCAATTTAAAGACGTGCCATCAGTCTTTCTAACTCTTTATGGTTGCTGCGAAAAAAATTAAAGAAGAAATGCAAATTTCTCCAGTTTTTTGGGGGTGGTTCCCAAATGAAACACGTTGGACCCTCGGTTTATTTGGAGAAAGTGCTTGTTTTGATCCCCTCTACGACCCAAATTTTGTTTTACATACTTATATCAAACACCCTGTAAAGTCATCAATTAAATAGTAGAAAAATAATTCTTTCTTTTTTTCAGCTTTTGGAGGACAAAATCGATACACTTGCAGACCTTGAAGAAAAAACGAAATGCCAATTAATATTAGAGCATGCAAATGTAAGTAATCGATCATATTTAATTTCCTGTGGACTTTTTGAGGGTGACAATTAATGAAGGGTTACGGCAATCAATCTTGTTTGAACTTTTTCATATTAGTAGCTTTCGATATGTACCCTAATTGGTTTCCGTTTTCACTAATTATTGCACGAATTAAATTTTTCTATCCTTTTAATTTTTTGCAGCATTTGATGCAATAAGCGAAATTTATTTGCAGTGGATTTTTTTTCTTATGACAAAGACGAGCTTTACAGATCATGATATAGTAGTTGCACTAATTTTTTCCATTAGAAACATTTTGCCGTTGAAAGATTTTAACAATCCATGCGGAGTGGATTTTTGTTTGATTCGACTGAAAAAAACCGTAATCCGAAAAAATATAAAAATCGACAATTTTTTAATCTGTCTTACTTCGTCGTAATAGTGAACATCAAATTAAAAAAAAATTGGAATTTCTTTCGCACAGAAAGATGTTCAATTAAATTGTCTTGGTCGAGGGGGAAGGGGTCTACTATGCTACTATTTGTCACGAAAGTGTTGTTTAATTAGGACATTAAAATGGAACTACGTCATTCAGTTAGACCAAAGTGAAACTGGGTTTCAGGAATTTGACTTAATAACAAAATTTTTGCGGGTATTATACTGAAATACATTTGCATCGATATCGATCGGTAAATAAATAGGTTAACCATTTTCGCCTTAAGACGTGCAATTTCACAAAAAAAACGATTTTCCTACACATTTCCAAAACATTTCCACATTACACATTGAGAACATTTTTTAAGTTAAACCTAAAATGTCAAGACGATTCTGGTTACATAAAAAAATTCCAAAATCCACTACACGTTTTGGAAATTTTGATACGTGTCAAAAATTTTCTATTAGTAACTATTCCCATTTCTGAAAAAAATTTTCAAATCTTCTAAGGATCTCTATGGCCCTATGCTGATCTAAGTATGAAAAACGCTACGATCTACAACCTTATTCCGTGGCCGTATTTAAAGATAAATTAATTCGGTACATTTGTGTTAATTCTTTAGACGTTTATTGTTTCATATGTTTATTTATATTGTGTTTATTAAAATAAATTAAATATTATCATAATCCGCATATGTACGAAACACCTCGCGAAACACTGTTTACGTGGTTTCTATATTTTTCATTTCATAAAAACACGAAAAGCTAACTTTTCGCTCATTTACGTCAAATTATTTCAGGGGAGTCGAACCAACTTCGCATAAGTCACTAAAGGGCGTAAAGTTGAAAGACTGCTGTTGAGGCTTGGCAATTTTCCATTTAAATGCTGTTGAAATGCAAATGACATACGATTGTTTAAAATCCTAATGGACCGGCAGAAAAACTTAAACAGACAAATTAATATCAATTTCTGATTGAGTTTATTAATAACCATAAATTATTCAATACAACTGCACGTATTTCATTAATCCGCCTGTTTAGTTGGAAGTTCATCCACCTCTTCAAAACGAAATAAATTGGATTTTGGATACAAATAGAAACTAAACAAATATTTGAGTTCACGTAACTTTTCGGTTTATCTAGAACTAGAAATATTCATCATTTATACGATTTCACGCCTGTGTTTGACATTCCAGCCTAACATTAAACTATATTTTAGTACGTTAAAAGGGATTTTTGAAGTAAATTATTGCTAGTTCTATCAACAAATTTGCTTTATTTAACTGGCAAAACATCAACAGTAACGAGTATTGCATGAAACTGGTTGAATATTTGAACTTTACAGCACAGATTGTTCTTTATTGCGAGTTTTTTAACTTTGATTTGTTTTTACCAACGTTTTCCAACCGTTTTCCGGGCTAAAGGTAGTGAAGGGCTGTAATCTTTGATGTGGTGATCGTTTTGGGTTCAACTGGGCCAAAATCTATAAGACAAAAACCATTCACAGTAGATCTAACATTTGACGTTTTCAGTTAAATATAGCACAGCAAATCGATCGGAAAACACTAATAGATTTTGGCTTGTAGAATCCAAAATGACTAGAATTGTACGTCTACCTCAAAAGTTATAGAGAAAAGCCCATTTGCAAAAAGGAAAAAAAGTAAAGGACTATCACTTTTGAAAATACTGCTCGTTATGGATCCTACAAGGGAAAATCTAATATCAAAAAGTTCATTCGCGGTCGATCTCAATTTTGCGTAAAACGATTTGTTCAAAATCGACCTGGTCGGCCGTTTTCTAATAGATTTTGCCCTGCAGAATCCAAAACGATTTTCAAGATTGGGTGGCTACATGAAAAGGTAGGGGCAAAAAAATCAAAAAGGAAAGGGGTACAACTTTTGATGTTCCTTTCATTGAGATCTTTAACTGGAGTGCCATGAAAGATAAAACCAATTTCTCGGGTGGTCACTAGGCAAGATAGCCTTGAAGAAGCTCCAAGAATCCCCAAAAACACAGCTCCTGCACTAGACGAAATTCACGGAAACGTAGTAAGAACGTTGAAACCCTTTCTGACATTCGCATCGAACTATTCTCTCGGCGTCGTCAAGAGAGATCGCGCGATCCATTCGTGTGGATCACTCGATCCGTTTTACGAGAGCATTGCAGATCATCTCTGAACTTGAGTAAAGGTTGTCCCCAGGTTTCGGTCTTGAATGGCAACGGTCGTGGGAGTACGCCTCCGCTAACAACCAGAAATGGTTACGTCAAAGTCGTATCCCCAGACGCGCGGCAGTCCACGTCTTTTGGTCGCACGTAGGATTTGGATGTCATCGGGAGCGTATCGCCGTTTCCGATTATGATCATTGTCCGACGTGTGGGGTCTCTTAACACCCCGACTCACTGTATTCTCACTTGTCCGGAATACGATTATGTCTGCTGCTCTTAGTTGGCGATTATGGCTCCTTACCCTGATTCTCTTACCCTCTATCTGCCACTGTCCGCACAGCGTGCATAGCATCTAACTTGCAACAACTCCCTAATTTGATCCATCCCAATGAGTCTGCTTGACCAAGACAAGCAGAGCAGTGGTAAACCACTTCCTTCCTTCCTTCCTAGTTATTCTTGTAAACGTTACACACATGTTTAATTTCAGAAAATCAATATCGTGAGCTAGAGTTTTGAAAAATCGACTTCTTAAATTACTGAATCTTTCAAAATATTTCTAATGCCCCAAATCACGTCATGGTGGAATAATATTTGTCTTAAGAAAAAATATCCGCTGATCTTCAATAATTGTTCACAAGTGATTTTATTTTGTTCGTCATTGTAACTTTCTACTTTCTTTTCAGACTATGTTACACAACATAAAACATTCCATTGTGCTTCTACAAATCGCCAAAGTAAGCATTTTACTGCGTTCGTAAGGAAAATACCGATGAAAGTTTGTTTTAGAATACAGCACACCCCGTGAACGGAGTGTACCAAGCGAGATCCGAGTCATCTGGTTTAAACAGTGCTTTATCAAATAATGGTTCAGGTTGGTATACCATATTATCGTCATTGAACAAACTAACTTTATATGTTTTTACAGAAACATGCGCCATTCCGGGGGAAGCTAATGTTCAGCAAGGCATCGAATTGGGATCGGAATGTTTGGAGGCGAGGCGTCACAATAGCCTTGTTGGTAAGTTTCAAAAGATTGCGAATATTCTATGAAAATTAATATCGATAAATTTTCAAACCTTAAAAACTGAATTAAAAAAGAATCCTTAAATCCCTTACTTTTATAACGATGTTCTATTATGTATGAAGTTTTAGAAATACTGACTATGTATTTTTTTTCTATTGTAAAAATACTAGTAAGTACGGTTTTACGAATTTCTTTAGTTTGCGATCACTCGTCGCGACAGAAAACACTATTGAGCACTAAAGAAATGCCACTTTTCCTTTACCACTTAAAACCGTCAACATTTTTACAATAGAATAATATTAAATAACCGATATTTCGAAAACTGAATTTTTTGATTTTACTATACAGGGTGTCCATTTTCGAGTACCACTATGCAGATCTCTCTTACCTTAAAAGACAGAAAGTTAGTTAAATGAGGGAAAAGTTAAGAATTTTCGTACTAAATAATAATCAAAAAAGAAATTTAAAGTATCTTCAAAAGTTTTTAAAAACACCAAAATTTCTGATTTTTGTTTTTAATTTTTTCATGCAAAACATTGATCCGACACTTTTTATGGGGGATTCGAATGTGGCATCATTTTCAAACTGGCAGAAAAACACACAGCAACCTTAATTTTTCTTAAGGACGATCAAAATACAGCGAGTGCGGAAAAACAAAACGTTCTTTTGTTGTGAACAAAAGTGTAACAGTTTGATCCTATTTCAAGTAGTATCATTTACTTTTGTGCCAGTTTTATTGCGGAAATGCCTTTTCCCAATTCAAGAGATAAGATACAAATTCACATGGCTACTACAGCATTTTTGCACCGTTTCCCCATAGTGGGACTCGCAAAATGGACACCCCGTATAGAAAGATATTTTTTACTTAATAAGACAAAAGTGCCGTTAAAAAAAATTAGTTTTCATAATTTTTTCAGTTTGGTTTTTAATGTTAGTTTTTGAACTTCCTGCAACTATTTCATAATCAAAATGTCAACACAGTCCACTGAAGTGGAAGTATTGGTTTAAAAGGAGACGCACCAATTAATCATTGACAAAAATATTTCGATTCTCTTTTTTCAAAGATAGATAACTGGCATTCGACGCGGGACGCCCTGTAGATTAAAATACGTTAATTGGGTAATGGTTCCCATCGTAAATACACAATATAATATGTGACAAAAATATAAAGAATAATGCTTTTGCCAAAACGGATAAATTCATTAAATCAACCCACAATTTACACAATCTTTCATTAAAAAATTGCATTAACGAACGTGAAACACGGTATTTCCATTACCAGTATGACGCCTAATTTACATGATGAGTATTCGCAATCTGAGTAACTACCTTTTGCGCATCCCATCTAATTGTAACATTAATCTGGTGTAATTATCCGATACTTAATTGGGGGGTCTAAAACGTGCGCAACCCGTATTATTAATTATGAAAATCAATTTGATGTTTTCCCGCAACCCCTCCTACTTTTAACCCCCGCGTTGATGAAATGTGGCCTAAAGGAATCAGTTCATATGTCGTGACATTTTTGTTTTATAATTAAACAAGCTTTGCTTCCTTTGTCTAATTAAAAAATCATTACAGAAGCTCCCTCGTCATTCTTGAAAAGTAAATTAACGTCCGGCCAATGATAAGACTGTAAATATTTACGGTTTTCCGATTTTTTTTTCGTAATGAGATTATTTAACGCCCTATTCTAAGTTAAAGGGATTTTCTCATGTCTGTATCAGGAGACTTGGCATATTACAATGTTTTTTGCTTTGGGTTAAAGTGTGTGTGGGTATTTCCGAAATGAGTGGCTCTATGAAAAATGTTAAATTGAAGAGAAAAAAATTCGAACAAATATCTTATCATTTTACGTAAGACCATTAATAAGCAAGCTGCGAGAGGAGGAAAAATGGAACATCTGAAATTTCAAAATTATGTAAAAATCACAGAGAAAATGCAATTTTCTTGAAATACCCCAACAACTAAACGAAAATGTCCACATTAAATGTTAGCAAATTCCTAATTTGTTTCAGGCAGCGTTACCTCAACGACACTAGCGGTACCTGAAATGTCCTACTCGAGTTCGGAGGGCGAAGACGACTTTTACGACGCCAACGATTCTCCGTTTACGCCTGGAAGCCAAGTGCCAACACCTACGTAAGTAACCTTTATGACTTCCGATCAATCACAATGTTTTTGTGGTGCCATTTTCTGAGCTTTTTTAGGGTTTCCGTTAACAAAGGATACCTACGAGGGTTTCCCGTTTCAAATAAATTTCTCCATTTCTTTGTTTTGATAGTCGGTCTTTTTATTGCTAGATTTTCAGAAATGACAAACTACTCAAAGAATTTAAAATGTTCTCAATGGTTTTACCACAAGATGTATTAACTAAAGTAATATGTTTCTAACAAAGTACACAGGCGAAGCATAATTTAAGTTTTAAGCGGCTTAGTTGTGAATAGATGCGTAATGTGCTTTTGAATCGTTCGCAGTTCTCTTCATTTAGAATGAAGAAATTTAAATGAGTTTTTGGTATAATATCGACTTTATTGAGAAGGGTAGCTTTGATCTCGTTTGATATAAGATTTTCTGACTTGTAGCGGGATGTAATTTTCTGCTTCGCGTGTAGTGTTAGAACCGGATTGGGATATTTGACAAATTTTTATTCCATAGTATACTTGGATTTATTTTACACCATTTTCAGATAAATTGTACAGTGATATTCATGTAAAAGTAGACATAGGGATTTCCTATAGGAATTTCTTATGTCTACTTTTAAATGATAAAAGTCTTCTGAAGGACGCCTAACTTTATGCAACCAAAATACCTACAACAAATGAATATCTGCCTGGCATATTAATTAATTTGAATATTATCGCTTTAACTTCCGTATTCTAATTTTCGTTCGTGCGCGATGTATTCAACTAAAGAAAAAGTTGATATTTCCAATTGGTATAGTGCCGGTAACAGTTAAAGGAGCGTAAGAGTTGTTTTTTTTGTTAAATCTGTAACCTCATCTCCCGTTCAATTGACACACTATACGCTCATGAGTCAAACTTTAAACTCGAGTTGAAAAGCTCCCCTTTATTCTCTAGTTGTACAAATAACTATTATCCTTTCGTAGTAAGCAAATGAAGAAATATTTTTTTTAAATTTTCATTCGCCATTTTGATCATCATTTTGTTGCAAATTTCCGAACGATAAATTCGAAAGCAGCAGTTTTCAAAATTTATGGAAACGCCTTTGCTGTTATCAGTTCTACTTTCGCTAGATGACGTTTTATTAAAGGATGATGTGTGTAGATTTAATAAATTTTGCATAATAAGTGTCCAAACACTCCTAAATAGGTTTGTCCATTCACATGCATATTTTTGCATATTTATTGATGTAGGTATCGTTATTGCTTATCTTCACAAGAAATAAGTATGCAAAGTTTATTGCTGGCTGATTATTACTAACTTCACATGACTTTGAAAACCTTTAGACAATGATGACCTTTGAAGGGTCCTTGAAGATCCAGAATTCAAATATTCCTAAAGATGTATTTAAAATAATAATAATCCTCTATGGGTTCGGGGGTAGAATTGGCCCACTCCCGTCCTGGAGATCGTAAAAGGCGGTCAATGGGTTGGGGAGGCGGCGAGTATTGCTCTAGCAATAATGATGATATATTCTTTTGATTTTATTGAAGTCACTAGCAGTCCCGGCGAACTTCGTACCGCGTTTGGAAAATTTCGTTTTTTTCACGTGCGTTAATTAATTTTTACCTGATAAGACTCCTCTTACCGCAAACGACCAGATGTCACTACAAAGCGATAAAATTTAAACAATAGAATTACTCAAAAGGAAAAGTAAAACTGAGACCCAAATTCAAATACAATAAACCAACTTTGTGCTTATTCGTAAATAACACCTCAGATTTAGTTAAAACATTGAAATATTTTTATATACCGGGTGTACCATCATTTATTTTTGATGTTAAACCGTAATAACCTCTACATGACGTTGTTTACACAACAGCATTTAAGGTCTCAAGTGTCTCTCTTGTTAAGGCATCTACAACCTTTAAGCAGCAGTCATAAGAAGCGTATGAGCTTTTGATTGCTGAACCAATGGCGGTAATTTCTTGTAAATAACTTCCAGTTACCAGTTACGCTTTGAAGGGTTTTAAGTTTGAAATCAGCATCTGTATTGATTTTAGCCCACCTTTGGTTTAAACACCTGATAAATATAATTATTGTAAGAACAATATTATTGCTTATAGCCAATAAAGCGCAATGAGTTACGCTGCTTCTTTTATTTGCTTCGTTTATGTTTATTGTAGAAGAATAACATTTGGGGTTGTTCTCGTTATTTTTAATTAAAATAACATTTCACGAAAACAATCTCGTGTTGGTCGTAGGATATTTTTCCACGTGCCATTTTTATTTTCCCTTTTGTACCTACTTATTCGATACAAGTCTTATAATTGAATAAAATTCTTTGCGTATTTCGGTGTTTACAAAAAATATTGTTGTTCGTTTACGTGTATCTGAAATGTTTGGGAAATGAAACATAAAAATTGCTTTTGCACGACACAAATTCTATTTAGTATGTTTAGTAGCAAAAATCCTTGGATCGGTTCCGATTATAACAAAGGTGTTGCAAAAGAAGACACACGCCGCATAAGGTGTTTCATTACAAGTTTTAATTTGTTTAATGTGAGCTGGTTAGGTAGGTGTTAATTGTGGGATGTAATGAACTCATACCATTGCACACAGCAGTATAGAAATCAATACAGCAAGAAATAATTTTTGCAAACTACTTTGAGATCATTTTCGTGACTTTCTATAGCGAAACAGCAAAACACATTTCTGGCTGGCATCGGGCTCTCTTGCTGGTCAAGTTGGTGAAACAAAATCACTGTATTAGTTCCTCTTTGTACATTTCTGTTGGCGATACAGCAAAATGCACTTTCTTGATAACGGGATATCATTTTTGTAGGGGAATTTTTCGATAGAAAACAATTCCCCTTATGTGATGATTCAGTCCGTCTTTTTCCCGTCTAACTCGAGAACGAAAAGAGACAGCGGTGTCAAACCTTCGCCAATCGATTTCTACGAGTTCAAGAATCAGTGCTATCGAATATGACCCGGATCAAAAGTCTGGTTTCCAAATATGAGCTGAGTGACAAAAAATTCCCCTACTAAAAATCGTATGCGATACTTCGTATCTTGTTTCTTCTTGATTTAAAGGTTTCTTAATCCCTCGTTTATAAACTTTTACAATAAATTACAATTGGGGTTCTAGAGGTCTCCCATAAACTTCCAGAGTTCTTCATATTTCTTAGAAGTGGTTCCGGACCATTCATTAAAAAAAATTAACGGGGAGGGAGTCACGAAGCCCCTCACCCACCTGCCCTATTTTTAATTTATTTCGTTACAAAATGACATTCTGAGTACAATGACACACCACTTGTCATTTTTGACAGATGGTCTATTTTTTAATAATTTTTTTTTGTTTTGAATCATTTGAAGTGATCGGTATGTGGTATCAAATTCGCAGAAACATCTTCTTTTTTAATAATAATAATAGTTTATTGTCCAAACAGAATAGTTCCATAAACTAGGACAATATTAGGTAAGATATACATGTAGTGCGAATAATAACCGAAAAAAAAAGAAAAACTTTAAGCATGACATAAGTGAAAATTAAAAAAAAAATTGAGAATTATTATTTTAGTTAATTAACGGAATCTAATAATATACTAAGGGTGGTATTAAATATATCAACAACGTGGGCTATGCTATTATATTGATTACACATGGCGTATATAGGAGAATTTTTCAGTATTTGGGTTCTACAGATTGGCAACGAAAAAGTGACGGTATGTCTAGACGACAACCGTGGAATTGCGAATGACATATACCTATATAGTACAGGACAATCTATATTTTTACTTAAAAATTTATACAAGAAAGAAATAGCCATCCGTTTACGTCTAGAAGATAGCGAAGGTAGATCGAACCTTTCTAACATGATATCATTAGAATATCCTCTAATTGGATATTGTCCATCCATACGAAAGCATAGATATTTGAGGAACCGACGTTGTATGTTTTCTAAATTGTTTTCATACTTTTTAAATGAGGTATTCCAAATTACACAACCATATTCTAACTTACTTCTAACCAATGATATATACAATGATTTAATGGTCGATATATCAGTGAAATCACGACTAACACGAATGATGAAACCTAGAATTCTAAATGACTGCTGAACTAAGCTATTAATGTGAGTTGAGAACGTTAACATTTTGTCCATGTAGATTCCTAAGTCCTTTGTTTCACTGTGTCTGTTTAAAGGCGTATTGCATATGGTGTAATTAAACTGAATGTCACTAAGTTTACGCGAGTATGAGACAATTTTACACTTGCTTATATTTAACTGGAGGTTATTCATGCTGCACCAATTATGTATGTTGTTCAGGTCCATTTGAAGCTTTTCGCAATCGGAGATACTGTTAACTTGTGAAAAGATTTTCAGATCGTCTGCAAATAATAGTTTCTGCGTAGAAATTACCGAAGGTAAGTCATTAATGAAAACCACGAAGAAAAATGGCCCTAAATTGGACCCTTGAGGTACTCCAGATGTGGGCGTGAAGGTGTGAGAATTGTAGCCATTATATGACACGAACTGTTTTCTATCCATTAAATACGATGCAATGAGTTGAACTATTGGATGGCTAAAACCGTACGCAATTAACTTCTGGACAACTATGTGATGGTCTATTTGATCAAAAGCTTTGCGGAAGTCCGTATAGATGACGTCTATTTGTCCACGCTTGTCTATTATTTCCGAACAGTACTGTACAAAATAGGTCAAATTAGTTATTGTTGATCTCTGAGGCACAAAACCAAATGACCAAAGAACCAAATGAGCCACAGTGTTTACATTTCAAAAAATTAATGAAAAGTAAACATTGTGATTTGTCAAACCTAGATTGCTTGATAATTAAATATCATAAACCGTTTCTTTTTATATTTTATGATTAAATGCAAAACTTTCTTATAAAAGGTTTCAGTGTGTTTGAAATTATGGGTCTACTGCCCTTTTCAAGATTAACTAAATGTGTGGCATCTGAAATAAGAGTGTTTTGTGGCACATTGGCCAAA